AAAATGTCAATAGTCAAATATCACAAAATTAATATTCACTTCTATTTTAACCGATCGAGTCCTAGTGTCATTTTGGACGCAATAGATTATATACCCAAGGTATTATGAACTAAAGTAGATTTTTGCATACTTGTCACAAGTCTGCAGGGCCATTATTATTACGGCTGGACATGCTTCAAGGGACATGGTAATTATGCTCGTGCTTTGTCCTCGAGATTAGAAATAAGAACTATGTAGTATCACGTACGGTGATGCCAGTTTACGCACTGTTAGTTGAGGATANGGGTGAGCGCCGCGCGCCGTTTGCGTTGGGGGACTATTCTGCACTGTAGTGGTCGATTATGGAAATCGTAGATATTTAAAAAAAAATAATAAAAAATTTGGAAGTCAGTTTTTTTGCTGATTCGTGATCAGAATAAGCTACTTAATCTACTCCCTAAATATGGCGGGTATTGAAATCAACACCCTGTATATTAATAATAATTAATTATATTTTAATTATTGGCAAAATACATAAGTAAACAGTAATTTAATTATCCTTAGGCTTCCAAGGTGTGCAAAAGATTAAATCCAATTGTTTATTATTGTTTCTCTGCTCATGCTTGATTTGTCTTTCTAGTAATTAATTAATCAAACTGAAATGATTTTCACTCATTACTTTCTATATTGTTTACTTTTTTTCTTATTGTTTTTAATGTTATGTTATTATAAAATTACAAGTCAGGAGAGGAAAATTGATGAAATCACATATAATCATAATACCTCATCCAGTACAAATAAAAAATGATTAAAATATCACAAAAGCAATAATTTATTTACAGATTAATTTATGTAAATTGATTTTAAACTACATATTTCTTTTATTAAATTGCAGTTTTACATTATGTAAGGTACTCTAAAAGGTTCAACCTGAACCTTCAGGAAAGTTAAATCTTATCTGTTCAAACAAACCTAGGATGGATACCTACAACTACATGCTTAATTTCTATCTCAATTCTATTTTCCCCTTACTTTTAAAGGGGTTCTATTTTCTTCCATTGAAAGTTGCTTTATTTCGCCAAAAATTGACGCATTATAAAACCACATGCCAAAAATTGACGCATTATAAAACCACATTAAAAATAAATTGCCCAATCCTAAGCACTTCTATTGATGTACCTACTACTTCTAACGAAGTTATTACTTATTATCCTTACCAGGGTTCGAGGATATATATCAAGGGATATATATCAAGATATATATCGGATATATATCCGATATATATCAAGCCGGTTTTGATGATATATATCAACTNCAAACAAACTTTAAAGTAATAAAAAATTTCGGTTTTGGAAACTAGCTTTTTGCACTTGACTTGAACCCTCTGTTGCCGGTTGCCTTTACTGAGTGCCAGCGTCGGCAGCTGTTTTGACTGCCCGCAGTGTATCACGTGGTATCACCGCCGGTTCCCAATGGCGATATTTTTGGAAACCGGCGCCGCAGCGGAGGCACTCCCTTTTTGTGTTTTTCAGCGTGCCTGCTGTATCTTTTTGGAAAATAGCAGGTACTGGATTAACGATTAACGGACTTAGGATAATTTAACGGAAGTTAACGAGTCCGTTAACATTTTTTAAAGTTAACTTAAAAGTTAATCCGTTAATAGAAATGTTAACTTCGTTAATTAACGATTAACGGATTAACGAGTTAATGCCCAGCTATGTAGATGGATCACAAAACATTATGTGGAATTATAAATGACCTCGTGATTGATTTTTCTTGATAGCACAGTTTTACCAAAAGCACTTTTAGGTATGATCCTGAGTTTATGTACCCCCGGTACTACTGAACCTTCACTGGGTTTCATTGGAGGCTAAGCTATAAACCCTGGACATACAGGAGTAGCAGTGGTGGGATAGGATCCCTAATTAACAACAATGTTAACAGCATTGTTGTGTTCCGGCAGTTAGAGGTAAGATAGCCAGTTCCTCCGTGGTTGAGGATTCCGGGTGAAGCTCGCTTCCACCTTCGGCCTGATCGTCACTTACCATCAGAGCTTGAGATACAGGCCAAGAGCTTCCTCGTTGTGGATAAAAAAAAAATATTTTAAAGATGATTTTCTAATTCTTAAGCTCAATATTGTATCTCATTAAATATTTTTTAATCGTGTCTATTTATAACAGGCCGCATGGTGCGCCGATGCACGCTCTCGTGAATAAGTGATGGCCATCGATTCCACACGAATTAGTACGTAAAAGGCTGTCAAGTCGTCATAGGTTACACATATACAATTCTGCAGCTCTACACCGGTATTATGGGATGAGGGTTTTGATCTTATCACATAACGTTTCAGTCTAAAAAGAAATAAGGGTTCCGTTTTTTGCCATTTGGCTACGGAACCCTAAAAAGTACTCCTGTTAGGAGGATGTTCATCCAAATAAAAAGTTAAAATCATGGATGCGAAAATTGAGTTTTCTAAAGATCATTAAAATGATACGAGTAATATCTGAACCACATCTAGTACCTACATTATTTCATCTTCTAATGGATATATAGACTAGAATATTAAACTGGACATTTCTTACTGTAATTGCGAGATAAATAAGAAAAATTTAATGAAACTGAAAAAGTTGCTTGCTACGAAAATATCGCTACGTGCTACGAATTATTTCGACTACGAACAAATGCATGAACTTTAACAACTAACGCAGTGCTATAAAAAGAAATGTGAAAGTTAATGGTGTACATTAGTTCTGCAAATAGTAAATAAAGATCGCGTGCTTTTTTGGAATTGCCTATGTCCTACATACTCGTATAGGGTCAAGTGGAAAGTGAGTTGGATCAATTCTCCCATCTCCCTGGCTACGAGCAAACGTGCGCCCTTGAAAGGAGTTTTTAGAAGTCATATTTAAATGAAGTACTTATTAAATAATGTGGTGATATTACAAAGAACATAAATAGACGTTAAACTCGTGTTTAAAATAACTTTTCTATACTGAATGTCAATTTAAACAAGTGTTCAACGCTTGTTTAACTTTTTGTAAAGGCCCATGATCTTTTAATCTTTGTTCTTTATTGAGGAACTTGTATTAGTATGATGACACTGTGTGCATAAAAGAACATGGAATATTCTGATGGGTGTTACGGGGTGTACTGTATGAAACTATGAGGATATAGTTAATAACTATCTAAAGGCTGTTCAATCTGTAAATCTGAGAAGCTGCTATCGTATTTCACAGTGGTAACTAATTTGGTAACTGTCTTTTCTTCTGAGGCTACTGGGTAGCCTGAAGGGTTAAACATAGGTATGTATTTTATGAATAACTAGCTGACCCGGCGAACTTTGTTCCGCCTTAATGGCAATAAATAAGCAGACTTTTTTTTTATTTCGAACGGGATAAAAAGTATCCTATGTCCTTCTCCTGGCTCTAAACTACCTCCCTGACAATTTTCAGCTAAATCGGTTCAGCCGTTCTTGAGTTATAAGTGGAGTAACTAACACGACTTTCTTTTATATATATAGATTGTATTTTGGGTAAAAATATGAAAAATAATAAAGTGAGAACAAAGTAGATTAAATAAATAATAATAAGGATTTTATAACAATAAATTACAGCAAACATAGCATAGATTACAATAATGCACTTCATCAGCTAAGCTTTATTCAGGAACTTAATAGTTTATTTAATTTTTCATTGAAATTAACTATTATCCCTTCCATTTCACCACATTATTTTTTTAACCAGTCCATTGTAATTAAAAGAGAAGTTTTTAAAATTTCGCGTGATTTGTGGCGCGCGACCGCCGCGGCACGACGCAATCCGAGCCAAGCAATGACTGTTGGTATTGACTACACAATACAGCCGCGCGGCAGAAAGTTATCGCCCTTTTCAGGGTTTCGTAGTCCTGACAAGGAAACCTTATAGTTTCGTCATGTCCGTCTCTTTACGTCTGAGGTTTTTCTTGGAGATTATTGGCTGGCTAGCACTAGAGTAGTGTAGGTAGGTAAAGGTATGTTTAACGGAACGATCACGCCGACATCTCCCCCCCCCCCCTTTTAAAAGCTTAACTATAGGCTTGAAAATTGTGGCAAAATTTAAAGAAAATGTAAAGACTGCGTTGCACCACTTTAACTATAACGGTAACTATAACTTTAACCGATTGTTATGGAGTAGTTATTGAGTTTTACAGACTTTAAAATTTCGTAAAATTTGTACGTTTGTTATATAGTTAAAGTAAGATTTTTCAACCCAGCCTAAATGTGACTTAAGATCTTAGATGAGGTAAACGGGCAATTACGGAACCCTACGCAGAGCGTGGCACGACACGCACTTGGTCGGATTTTTTTTATTTGGAAAAGCTGTATGAATTACGTGCGCTGGGCAATTTGGTCGTAAAAATGAGCGGTCGCTTGATTCAATATTGTGTACTTGTGTGTTACCTTTATTTATACCTTCATTATTTCAGCCATAGCATTATAGGACGTCCACTGCTGAACAAGGCCTCCCCCAATGATTTCCATATCGCGCCGGTGGTAGCGGCCTCTAGCGGCCTGCATCCAGCGCCTTCCTGCTACCTTTAAATGAGGTCGTCGGTGCACCTTGTGGACTTTATTTCTACCTTAGCTATATTTAAATGCATGCATAGTGTACATTTTATATTGTACAACGTCCTCTGGTTTGTGAACTTGGACGTGACAAGAAAAGTAAACGTAAATAGATTGAATTTATAGTGGATTTTCCAATGCGCTTTGTTTGCAGGTAGATTTGAGTAGCCATTCCCCGTTGCTTTTCCCACGTGGATGTTTTAACGGCTTGATAGATTCAATGAGGAATTTTGTAAGCTTTGACCTCAAACTAATATATTTTTCAAATTATGATGTAGACCTAGTTACATTATTCTGTGGTCATTATAAAGAAAACACTTTTAAAGTAAATAGTAAAATATTTTATTATTATTCACACATTAGTTAAAATAGTCACAAGACAAAGGCAAAATATGGACACAGTTCATTGTGAATTGCGTTCACAAAGCTTATAAAGCGTATAATGTCGTCATTTAGACCTACAGCAAGAGGTTGGTAAAACCTTTTTTTAAATAACTAAGGCCTAAGGCCGAGAACACTTCAGTCTCTTGGTGATGGGGTCCGGCTTGCAGACTTCGAAGGGCTGGCACTTCACACCCTCGCAGTGAACACTAGTGCCGCTAGCTGTAGAAAGAAAAACTAGTTTAAATACCCAGCTTGGGTTGTGCACGGAATACATATTATTAGGTATACTATAAATTAAAAAAAAAACGTTTCTAGAGGTATGTTTATGTTTGGTTTGGTTAGTCCACCAACCTCTACAATTTCGCGACGATGAAATTACTGGAAGAAAAACTATTTAAAAATTCAAACCAGCGACTTGACCCGTGGACCAAGCTAAAAGTGGGTATCCTTCCGTTTGGCCAAATTACTTTTCGCCAAATTTCACTTCGCAAACAACTTATCGCCAAAGTTTCATTTCCCAAATAAACTTTTAGCAACTGTACTTTTCGCAACTAATTCATTTGGTCAAATTAACATTTGGCCAAATTTTACTTGGCAAATGTTTATATAGCAAATGTTTTATTTTGCCAAATATTATATCCCAAATAATTTGCTTGGTCAAATTGACACTTCACATACTTACGAGTACCCACCGTTACCCACAAATCAAAGCATAAGGCACATGGTCATGGTTTTCACAATAATTTTATGTAAAACAGAGAGATTGCAGAAAATAGTATGGTTGCAAAAAGTAGGTATTGTAGAAAATAGTGGGTTAGGTTAGGTTAGAACAGTGACCCTTAACACGTTGAGTGCGAAACCAGGTCTATAGACCTTGTGTACGTCTCGCTTACCGTGCGGCTAAGAAAATTATAGTCTTCCTTGTCGTGCGAAAGGCATAACTTCAATTGGGTCCGGTGTAGGAAAGTGATGAATATATATCTATGATGTATTCTTAAAATAGAATGTAATGATGTACCTACCTTAATACCAGGTTTTTAGACCTGGTACCGCACGGAAGTAATAAAATGTCTTCACAATGCGAAACCAGGTCGAAGCACCTTGTACCCTGCGCACCTGGTACCGCACCCCACGCTAGCTTCGTGCAGCCAGTGTTGCCTCGCATTCGTAAGAAACGCACATGTTGACATGGCGTCAAGAGAAACAAACAAAATCAAAACTGCAAATTGATTATAATTTAATTTGCTACACGATTTATTGCTAATTTAAGTAATGTTTTTCGTGACAAACATTTGAAGTTGTAACTAAACGTTATTAAATAATATGTTTTCTTTAAAATAGCTTATTTTAGTATTCATGCACGTATGTCTTATTTGTAAAATATTTAGACTAAATTATTAAAACATCTTTGTTTGTTACTTTTTTTAATTTTTTATTAAAACTTAATTTAAACTATCGATATTTGTATTTCACATCTTTATATTAACTACCCACTAAACAAAATAATAACCACAAGCTAATTTGTATTCCATTCTATGCACCAATCAAATTGTTTTGTAAATAGTTTATCGTGAAATATTTTTGCCAAATGAAACATTTGGCAAAACATACTTTGCCAAACAATAATTTGCTAAACAATAATATGCCAAAAACGACATTTGCGAATTAAAAGTTTGCAATAAGTTGTTTTGCCAAATGAGAATTTGCCAAATGAAAATTTGCGAAACGTTGTTTGCGATGTGATAATTTGGGAAACGTTTTTTGGCCAAACATTAGTAATCCGCTAAAAGTGGGCCAAGTCACTGGAAGACTCTGAATAGGCACTATCAAGGAACATCACTTAACAACAGGTGTGATTAAGACGAAATTCCTATGCTCTGCATAAAAAAAACTCACATGAATACATATAGCTGCCTCCATTCCCTCCATTATAGGGCTCAGGGTAGGTGCAGGACTTGACGTGTGCAGGATTGGTGCAGCAGATCATCCCGTTGTTGCATTCGTAGTCCTGCTTGCAGGTTGCCTTCTTGCTGTAGGTGTGGATTTTATTGGGAGGCGGGCAGCGGCCGGAGCCTAGGGCTTCAGCTAAAATATTAGAATTAGAAGACACTTTAGTTGAAAAAGATACGAATAAAATTATAGACAGACAATAAATGAGTAGGTTCTTTTGAGACAAAATGGCGGCAAACCCAAAATACGAGTTGCACCATTTTACTTTAACTTTGACAAACGACAAAAATCTGTCAAACTGCATACAAAAACATCGGTTATTGTTAAAGTTACGGTTAAAATAAGTCGGTACAACTCAGCCTAAATCTGTAACTGGTTCCCGGTAAAATAGAAACTGACTTTCAGACAAAAAAAAGAAGACAGATGCCCGTTTTCACCATCAATCCCCAATTTTTAAGTGACCCTTATGAAAACAAAATGCCTGTTATGTGTTACCATAGGGGTCACTTAAACATTAAGAATTGATGGTGAAAACGGGCATTAATTAATTTATTAAGTACCTATTTAATACCATATAATAGAAACATAGGCGAACTTAATGCCATAAAAGCATTCTCTCTTAAAATGTTGGCGGTGATATAAAAAGCTAAGAGAACAAAATAAATTCACTCAATTACGATAATAAATTATGAACTTACAGATTTGTGCAACAGCCAAAACCGCTACAACGACACACAGTAGAAGCCTTGAATCTGTAAATAAGTAGTTTAATAATTATTACCTAATATTTTGTTATGACATTAAATTTTCGCATACGTTGATTTTGTTTTTGATCGAAATTCGAGCAGGTTTTTCCGCATGAGCATAATTTAAATAATGCATTTTAATAAAAGTATTTCAATAAAATACACATTACAAATATCCAGAGAAGGTCAAATGCATATGAATAATGCAATGATTGCAGTTGTTTTTGTCGACTGCATGATTTGCAGAGCTTGTAGCACTTTGACATACATAAATTAGGTAGTTAGGTATTGATTTTTTTATGTGACAGGAGGCAAATGAGTAGACGATAGGATCGATATGTATCAAGTTTATGATTTTTTGTTTACAAGTCATTTAATTAAAGTCAATTCTTATATTTATTAAAATCATGCAACAGAGCCGGATTTGATAAACACGATATTATTTTGTGGGTTTTGGCACCGAAAGACATGTCATCGCCATTTCATCGAAGATCCATTTCACCGATGGGTTATTTATTAGAAAAGCTATATTGAACGAAAGCTACATCAATAACAACTCAGATTGATTGTTTGTTTTTTTTTTTGGCGACAGCGAATTTTTGTTTAATTTACCTATGTTGTTACTTACCACAGTAAATGCTACGAGGCAACTGAATGCACTATTTAATAAGTATACTGTGTGCGTAGAAACGCTAATGATGGAAAACTCAAGGGCACAATTAGTGTTACTTAGTCATGCGATTGTTAATGTGAGAAAAACCTTAGACCTGGGCGCGGTTTTTTCTATTTACTTTGTAGCTCTGTTACTTTTAAATAAATAAATAAAACAAATAATGTGTCATAATTTGCGCAGTAGGTAATGTCCCTGTCCCTGTCCCGTTTAGTAGCACAACATAACATTGTTTATTTACAAGTTTAACATTGTTTGTTCGTTGTCTAAACTTTGCAACACTAAAGCGAGACTGCGAGTAATATCCCTCGTAGAAGCTGGGTTAATTCATAAAAATACTGATTAATTGAGTTACCATTTGCGTCCTGCGTGAAAATGGTCTATTCCTTTCGAATAACCTACCTAGTAATTTCTGAGATTATTCCCACTTAAGTAGGTGCCTGACTAAAGGATCAATATTGTTATTGTCAGTATGTACAGCTGTGTGTACATGTTAGGTATGCTAATGAAAGCTATTTTTGTGGAAGAAAGCACAGAACTGGTTTACTGTGTCTACTGTGCTAGATTTGCGGTGCATTTAGCTCTTAAATTGTAGAGATGACTCTACAACTTATCTCGAAAATAATTTAAACTATGCGATTAGATGAGGAGTTACGATCTTCATTTTGTTCTTTTGTTTTGGCATTACAACTGGATTTCTTGAGCAACATTTAACCATATTTCATTTAATTTGGGTTTACAACAACATTCATGTAATTTGGGTTTTAATTCACCTCTTTCAGTAACTAATATTCTATGTACATACTCGTATACGAAAACTGTTGACATGACAAGAACTAAGTATTGACAATAACATAGGCACAATAAAACAATACTTATTTGATTAACACCAACTGTTTGTGCTTTGTATTGAAGATATAGTTTTGGCTGGTAGTCATTTTTAAGTAAAGAAGCATTTTATTTTTATAAATTAATTAATTAACTCTCTGAAGAAAATTAAATGCTTTTTAGTATTTTAATTTAATTTTGGATTTGCAATTAATAAAAAATGGTCACTAAATCTGTTTTTCTTCTTTTTAGCACTGGCCCACTTATTAATTTATGAGAATAAAGTAATTAAGAAACAGTATTTTTCTAAGTAATATCGTAGAATATTTACGAATGTTTACTCACCCATTTTGAAAGTTTCAAACTTTTGTCCGGTAAAAGCAGCTGTGTTCACATTCACGTGCACTCACAAACAAGTCTCAGCTCACAGTGGTTCACAACTAGGTCTTATAGTAGGTTTGATTCAATAATAATCGCGGACTCGCGGTTGGTACAGTCATTTACAAAAACACAGAAAAATCTGAAATAATATAAAGGTCTCTCGAAAGTTTACTTATTTTTAAATACTTTATTTTTAAAAGTTTTCCATCTTTTCCTTTTATTTCTCTATTTAATTTTCTCTTTCCTGTTACTTCAGTTTTTCCCTTCCTTCCCTTCTCATAAGTACTTATTCTAGTATTATTATTCCCTGCCGTATGTTTTCATACTGTTTTACAGAGCATTTTTTTTAATTATAAAATGACTATCCCGAGCGTTGTCCTAAGTCGTCAAGAGATAGAAAACTGTTTCATAAACAAAGTTGGCAGGTATAGTTGACGTTCAAATTACTTATATCAAGGTAGGTATATCCAAATCAACTATCCCCACGATAGGATACATTTATCAGCAACAAAATAACTCCGATTGAATTGTAAACACTGTTGTCTTGTTTCTATCTTTTCAGTTAATTTTCACGCATTCGAGTTTTTTTTTTCAATAATAATTTATTATTTTCAGGTCAGACTATATCTAAGCTTCTAAGCCACTGTGTTTGAATGAAATTAAAGATGAGCTGTCACAATGGGAAAACCCTAACCCTTATCAATAGAACGTACAGGGAAAATGAGGAACAATAATATGCTTTTAATTTCACGGCATTTCTTATTCATAATTTTATTTACCATACTTGAGCCAATAGGCATCTGACATGGCTTTTAACTACACTGAGGATGTAATGTAACTAGCTACGTAAGTAATTGTAATGGAATTATTTATCTTTTCGGATAATTAAGCTGTGGGTCTAGACAAAGTGCACTTTAAAATCGCAAAACAAACGAAAGATGGTCGAAAAGCCCTTTTTTACGGATTCCTCATTCTATCAAAAAGTGTCACTTGTCTAGGGGCGCTGATCTATTTACTGTTTTTTTAGTCAGGAAATGCATTGAATTGCATAGTTACTCACTAGTCTGAGATAGTGGGCTATGTGGGACTTTCCCTGCCAGATGGGCAGGGTCTTCATCTACCCACGAAAACTTGACGGGCGTTCTCCAGTCCTTGGGACGGACTGCAAGTTCAGATTGCAATGTATGTCCTAGATAACCAAACTGAAATAATTTAGTGATTTGTCACTTGTATAAATATCTGAGACACATCACACTTTGCGATTCGTTGCTTTCAGCTTTGGCTAACATTTTTTATTTGTGACGTCCACTGCTGGACAAAGGCCTCCCCCAAGGATTTCCTTTAACCTCCTGCGACCTTTACCAGATAGTCGGTCCACCTAGTGAGGTGCTTGCCCACACTACGTCTTCCGACCCGTGGTCGCCACTCGAGAATTTTTCTGCCCCAGCGGCCATCAGTACTGAGAACTGTGCCCCGCCCTGCCACTTAATTTTATTATTGCTTTTATTACTAACATTCATTATGTTAAATTAAATACTTATTCGTCACGCGAGCGCGATCCCTCACTGCGTTATAAAAAATATTTAATTTAATTTTGCTCTTGGCTGGTTTTTTATAAACGAATCGCTTTAGGCTGGGTTGCACCATCTTACTTTGACTGTAAAAACGTCAAAAATCTGTCAAACTCCATACAAAATCACCAATCACCGGTTATCGTTATAGTTACGGTCAAACTTTGGTGGTGTAACTCAGCCTAAACCAATAAAACAAACGACTGTATAATTACTTGAAAATATATTTAATCATAAAAATAATCGGTCGTCTAAGCGCGGCTGCACTTCATGCGCTTGGTGGCGGGGTCCATCTTGCACACCTCGAAGGAGTTGCACTTCACGTTGTCACAATACGTGCCGCTACCACTGCCTGTAAGGACAAAAATTGCATTTAAAAGGGCATTTCAAACTTTGAAAACATGAAAAATCGATTTGCCTCTGGTGGAAATCGAACCCAAGTCTACCTTTTGCTAGCTGGGCTACCATCGACCGTTGAGATACGAAAACGTTGGTGAATCCACAAACTGTGAGTAAGTAACAGTTAAACTGCAAAAGATCAAACATAAAGTAGTATTAAGCTTTTAAACCAATGGTCAGTAACGTACTTATTTAATTTAGGTACCAATTACGTCATTTTTCAACCACATCAAAATTTTTTTGCAATAGATATAACACCTGCTGTTGTGCCCAGGTCAGATTGATTGTGACAGTTTAACTTTCACCCGGAAGAAACTTCGCCTTATAATAATTTTTATTGGTGTCAAGTTGTAGATCCTGGCGCCACAGTACTTGCAGCGGTGGGAACAAGAGGTGGTATAGTCCCATTTATGAGACACTGACTTATGTAAACTTGTTGGAGCCCTCTCTCTGTATCTTGCCCAGGACTTTGCTTTACTCACCATACTTGTTGGAGCACTTGGAGCCGCCGGCGCCTCCGTAAGGCGCGGGCTCCGTGCAGGACTTGGCGTTGCAGCCGTTGTTACAAGTTACAACACTCTTGCTGTCTCTACAATAGGCAGCGTGTGAAAGACTGCATCTACTTAAAGAACTTGTTGGAGCCCTCTTTCTGTACACTGTGCAGTAGTGATGGGCCGACTATGGTCTTTGCGATTGCCGATTAGTCGGCCGACTAATCGGCAATGCCGATCATTCTAATACCTACTTGTCCGAAGAATAATATCTAGATTTTTTCAAAGAAATATGAATATCTAGATTTCTAAAGAGATAAATATAACTTCTTGAGAAATAAGATTTCTTTAATATGAGAAAAAATAAAAAGCAACATTACAATCAACTAACAGTACCTAAGGTAGATGTCATAATTTTCGACGGCGGAGGGGTCAGAGGTAGTGTTCCCGGGGCCTATAGGCTTTTAGGCCTAAAATTACTTAAGGAGAGTAAATTTATGTGGGTATTCCTCATCCTTCCGATGAGAGGAGCCCCACATAATCTACCACTTCCCCGCAGGATAGGTATGCAATTCCATTCAATTTTCCCCGAAAAAAACAATGTCATAATTTTTATATGGACTGGACAAATTACCATGAACTTTACACATTTTTGATGATTTCCTGGTAATTTTAACTAATCTTAAATTTGTATGAATTTAGACTGATTGCCAAAATTTTAAATCAGATGAAACCACTTTTTACTGATTTTTTGCAGTCAAAAGTGGTTTAGAAAACGCCCTTGGTCTACCTCATAATTATCTTGGTGATTATGAGTTTATTTCATTCGCATATTTAATTTTGTAATGCGCCGATTATAATCGGCATATTTTGCCGAATAGTCGTCACTAGTCGGCCGACTACAAATGATGCCGAATAGTCGGCTTTCCCGACTAGTCGGCGACTAGTCGGCCCATCTCTACTGTGCAGCTTGTGAGAGACTCTGCTCTACCTACTCACCATATTTGTTGGAGCCCCCGGCGCCTCCGTAAGGCGCGGGCTCCGTGCAGGACTTGGCGTTGCAGCCGTTGTTACAGCACACTTTGCCGTGGGTAAGTTCCTACACTGAGCTGCAGTAGGTTGGCGCACGTTGCTGTCTTCTGTACTTACACTGGATAGTTTGTGAAAGTCTGTGACTACCTACTATACTTTTTGGAGCTTTGAAGCCTCCGGCGTCGCCTTGGAAGATACCCTGCTGAACTCACCATACTTGTTGGAGCCCCCGGAGCCGCCGGCGCCTCCTTAAGGCGCGGGGTCGGTGCAAGACTTGGCGTTGCAGCCGTTATTACAGCACTCTTGCTGTCTCTACAATAGGCAGCGTGTGAAAGACTGCATCTACTTAAAGAACTTGTTGGAGCCCTCTTTCTGTACACTGTGCAGCTTGTGAGAGACTCTGCTCTACTCACCATATTTGTTGGAGCCCCCGGCGCCCCCGTATGGCGCCGGCTCGGTTCCAGACTTGGCGTTGCAGCCGTTGTTACAACACACTTTGCCGTGGGTAAGTTCCTACACTGAGCTGCAGTAGGTTGGCGCACGTTGCTGTCTTCTGTACTTACACTGGACAGCTTGTGAAAGTCTTCGACTACCTACTATACTTTTTGGAGCCGCTGAAGCCTCCGGCGTCGCCTTGGAAGATACTCTGTTAAACTCACCATACTTGTTGGAGCCCCCGGAGCCGCCGGCGCCTCCGTAAGGCGCGGGCTCCGTGCAGGACTTGGCGTTGCAGCCGTTGTTACAACACTCTTGCTGTCTCTACAATAGGCAGCGTGTGAAAGACTGCATCTACTTAAAGAACTTGTTGGAGCCCTCTTTCCGTACACTGTGCAGCTTGTGAGAGACTCTGCTCTACTCGTTGGAGCCATCAGGGGGGTGCACCCCCCTTATGGTGCGGGCTCGGTGCAGGATTTGGCGTTGCAGCCGTTGTTGCACCGAATTGGCTGCTTGTGCACTAAGCAGTTGTGACTTTGATATTTTAACTTTCCTTCGTAACGAACTTCGCCTTTTCTGGTTGGATTTTTACTGGTGGTCAAGCTCTTGGCTGCACAGGAGCTGCAGCGGATAACGAATAGCCCCGTTTATGAGACACTAACTTATGTACCACACTTGTTGGAGCCCTCTCTCTGTACCGTGCCCTCCTGGGCACTTTGGACTTTGCTCTACTCACCATATTTGTTGGAGCCCCCGGAGCCGCCGGCGCCTCCGTAAGGCGCGGGCTCCGTGCAGGACTTGGCGTTGCAGCCGTTGTTACAGCACACCTTGCCATGGGTGCACTCGTAGTCCTGCAGGCACTTCGGACTGCAGCTGTACACTTTGGACGGTAGGGGGCAGTTGCCGGCTGGAACAGAGAGATCATAATCATCATCATTGTCATTGTCATCATCATGATATCAGCCATAGGACGTCCACTGCTGGACATAGGCCTCCCCCAATCATTTCCATAATGATCGGTTGGTAGCGGCCTGCATCCAGGGCCTTCCCACTACCTTTATGAGGTCGTCGGTCCACCTTGTAGGTGGACGTCCTACGCTGCGCTGTCAGGTATGTTGCTTTACGTACAGAGAGATGATAGGGAACCTCCTCTGCCAGGTAATTAACTTAACCTAATCGAAGCTGGAAAATGTGACATTTTCAAAAACATTTTTCTCTAACTCGATTTATATCGCGATTATGACCAATGTTGTTCTTTGCATCAGTTATCATCATCAATTCAGCTACAGGGCGTCCCCTTTTGAACAAGGTCCAATGATCAGGAGTGGACGTCATCAGGCCACCAGTTAGGTAGGTAAAGTAAATTATTTTCAATATTTATTTAATGACACGCAATTAATAATAAAATTAATCAATAGGCCTAGTCATGGTAAATTATGAAGGAAAATCTTGTTGTTTTGCAAGTTATTATCAATCCAGTATGTTAGAAGGAAAATGCGACATTCATTCATTTCATCTAACACACATTCATTAAGAACGACTCTGTTTCTACAAGTACCTCCTAGTTTTAGTGCCTACTACTAATTACTACCACAGGTACTAACGAATGAAGTGCCTCATTTATCTACAGTTCATTAAATAGCTCTGAAAGAATAGATAACCAGAGAGTCGGTAATTCTGAATATATGATATGCAATATCCTAAAGATATGCAATATCTTTTCAATTCCGATATTGAGTGCAATAAAGTTTTAAAATGAATTCATTATGACACCAACATCATCTTAGCAGTCCTTGGTAATTTGTAACAGCTGATCGATGAATTTATGGAGAAGTGTTCTATGCAATTATCAGATTTAGCTGACATGTAGTATAGTGAAGGAGGATCCATTGAATAACCCTATGGTAGGTAGGTGTATGCTCGTCTTTTGTTTCATTTTGGGCTTTTGTCGATGTGACAATAGAGTCGACTCATTACAAGGAAAACCATGGTGTAAATTCGTCACACTCTATTAAATTTATTACTCGTATTGATCAGTGTCTTGTGACATATACATGCGTACATTCACGTACTTAAGTATGAAAGAAAATTACAAAATAACTACCAACCGAATTGAGAACCTTCTCCTTTTCTTGAAATCGGTTAAAAACGAATACCCTTTGTTGCAATTGAATCCTTTTCAGGAAAATTAAAGTTTAAAAAAACAAGAAAATAAATACATACCAGCCTCACTGCTTGAAATCATCAACACCACCGCAGCGATGGACAAAATGATAGTGAACGAACCTGAAAAAATTAAGAAGGGCACTAAGTTAAAAGTTACGTAAAAGAAAAATGAAAAGTTTGTAAAATGAAAAATCGATTTTTCCGAATTAAATTAAGATACCTACGAATGTGAAACAATAACCGATATGTAACAGAATTGTAGTTAAATACCTAGTATTAATACGAGTTTTGCATCGCGTTAATTTTGCCTTGACCTCGGATTTGCCATCAGAGATTGCAAAGTTTATGTTCTGATATTGATGCAAATACAAATAACATAACTTGTTGGAATAGCCTTGACATTAAATCTACTTAAATTATTTTTTAATAAATATTTTTCACAGACGGACGTTCTAAAGTGCTTTTAGTTTTAACTAAGTAACTTACTGAAAATTAAAACGTCTAAAATAAGTTTATTAAGTTTTTAATTTTTATATTGTTACGGAGAGTCGGGGATCAATCAACTGTAGATATAATAACTACTTATGTAGGTAGATAATCTTTGTTAAGTATACCTACACCACAAAAGTAATCAGTCCATAAGTATAGATAGATAAATAACAGGTTAAATCAACACTATTATGACGGTTTCGTCAGATTTTTTTGTTAACTTTATTTTTAAAAAGTTTATTAACTGAGTTTCCTCGTAAATTTTTCTTGAGCACAAAAAAATAAACATTATGTATAATTTAAAACATTTGTCAAAGTCCAGTACAAAAGATAAACATAAACAAATAACTTACCCATTTTATTCAAGAGACGTGATTATCAACCTTTCGATGCGAGTGCTAGCCTGGGACTGGTTCTTCGAACACAAATAACTATAAGATTGATGCAAGCGACGTGGGATAATTCAATAAGGTGGTCTTGTACTTACTTAAGGGGCCATCACGTTGGAGCGTTACGTTAACTACATGAGAAACGAAACGAAAGGGAAAAGTCATGACGTGATTGATGAATTTACCTAAGTCTATAAGTTCAAGACCTTAAGCTCTACTTAGGTTAGGACATAGTTTAATTAGATAAATAAATAATAAATATTTTATTTCCAAAAAGATATACATATTCTTGACTTAAATAATAATGTACTTAGTGCATAGTTTAACCTATTAAATATTTGCCAGTTTGAGGCTATAATTATATTATTTCTTAGGAAAAAGGTTTTAGTTACTTTGTGCGCTCTACACACGCTAAGTTAGTCTTATCTAGTCCTACATAATGTTAATTATTACAATAACATCATGTAAAAGTAAAGGTAATTATATTATAAAGCTTTAGACAATTTTATGATGAAACCATGGGATATCTCTACATAAAATACATTTAAAATTAAAGAATGCTTCCTATAGAATTCAACTATAGAAAATGTAGAGTAGAAACGAAAAGTGAAATAGCGAAGTCTTTAGAACAAACTAGGCATAATCTGGTTTCTTCAATGCTAGAGCTTATTCTTACCTATTAATTTCTCTCAAACGTCTAACTACTTAATAGCAACTTTTAGCGAGTTTTTCGACATAAAGGATACATTTTATCCTGCATACAAGAAGAATGAAACCTGTTGAGCACCTCTACATACTTAAAAATCAAGTTAATTAGTATGCGTGTCAAATTTTGATATTTACCTACTAGCGTGCTTTACCTAACTAAGTAACTACTCTATTTAACTAAACATTAATGAAAAATACATGGACATCTCATTTACATTACTTAAGTAAATAAGTACTACTTTATTGGTTTGCGTAGATCTTTAGGCCTTGAGGGCCTTTGTCCAGCAGTGGACGTCATTTGGCTGAAACGAAAAAACGAACGTTAGATGCAATGGTGGGTTAGTTTGATTTTATTAATCTAAACTTTTTCAGTTGTATTCTTTCTTAGTAAGTACCTACCTATTTCTAATTAGTCTTTGTTAGTTTGTAGCTTAGGTAAGTGCGACTGTTAAAAAACATCCAGTTAATTCCTGAATTGCGTTGGAACAATATAACAATGTAGGATTCGATAGTGCGAAGTAAAACGTCTAGACTCTAGCCCATTGTGACCGGTTAATACCCTTTTACACTGACTGACACTCGGTGTTATCATGCGAACTAATAAACATGACCTTTGTTACAGCTATTATTCAATTTATGGATTCAAGTGGCTTATTATTGTAGGTATGTAATTTTGGTGACTACTTGTTTGTTGGTAGTTACCCTGTACTGACAAAACACACTCTTTTTGCGAAGTTAGTCTTCTACCAAGCAAGACGCACATATTTTACAGCGCCATCTATTTCCTACATAAAAGGTAGTGGTAGTTGGTATACAATTAGCATTTGTTAATTTGTTAGCGTTTATAATCTAAGGTGTTATCTATACGGTTGTCATCGTTCATATTTATAAATAAAATAAACTTAATAATTTCAACTTACAATAATTTTATAAAGTACTATTTAACGCCATCTATCGGTCTTATTATAAAACTTTCAATTATGCTATTTAACGCCATCTGTCGATCTCATTATAAAACTTTCAAATGTGCTATTTAACGCCATCTGTCGATCTCATTATAAAACTTTCAATTGTGATATTTAACGCCATCTGTCGATCTTATTATAAAACTTTCAATTGTGCTATTTAACGCCATCTATCGATCCTATCAAAAAACTTTAAATTAGATACTTTTCAATGTCTACAAATGATTAGATGAAAGTATTTTATTGTGATTACGTGACAGAGAACGCGTATGCGTACTCGAAGATGTTCGTTAAAAAATTTAAGTTTTAAATAAAAATCAATAATTAATTTCCAGAACAAAATCGCAATACTTTACGCGTGACAGAAAGCGAAAAAATGATTAAGTTGTTATTTTAAAGAATATTGTCTAAATGTTATACAGATTCTACCAAGATAAATTGGTTATTAATTTCTGAACGAATGGCCACACGCGCCTCCTAGTGAGCGAAATTTGAATTAATTTTAAAAATTTCAGTTTGCGTTTGGTAAATGTCAATCGGTAACGGGCGAATATTTCCGAAAGTGTTTTCGTATCTCGAAAACTTTAATTTGCGTTTGTAAAAGCAAGTTAATTAATTTAAACACTAGTGAAAATAATGTTAGTGTGAGCAGTTGTGTTTTCTGTGTAATTACCATACATTTTTAATAATGGATCCCTTTACTCAGGTAGGTTTGGCTTCGGTCTTAGATTAAGTAATTAAGGCTTCGGTCGAGTTTTAACGGCTCAAATCTTCGAAGGTCACTAAAATTTACCATAATAATCTAAATTTCAGCGTATGTTGGAAAGAGCGCGTGCCAGACAAGAGAAAATCGACCAGAAACTGGCTTGTTCTGGCCAGACAGTGCCCAAGAGGAAACCTTTGACTGAAAACATCAGTGTTATAAAGAATGCGAGTCCCATCAGGTCTCCTAGTAAAGCTAAAGAGAGTGTGTTGTCTCCTAGAAAGTCCTTGAAGTCGGAATCACCGGCTAAGACTGTTACACGGAGGCCAAGTTTGCAGAAGAGTCAAAATGCGGTGGCTTCCCCACAGAAGTCCAGAAATGATGTTGTTGTGACAAAAAAAGAGTTCAGCAGTCCTAGAGGAAGCATAGGGAGGCGTAATTCTGATGTTTCGTTGGAGATAAACATCACTCATAGGAATGATATCAAAGTGGATGTCCAAATTGAAGAGATAGATGCCCCCATCTCAGTGGTTTACAATACGAATAGTGACAGTGATAGTAATGTGGTGATAAAAGAAATTGAAGGTGAGAAATAATGGATCTTTAGCTATTTCCTTAGTGTGTAATCCTTTGCCACAATGTTAGTATTAGTAGTAGTAGTATTTTTAGCTCAATTTTATCTGGTATCCTTCCATACTTCTTAAGAGGCCTAAGCAACCTGCAGAAGCTGACAACCGACCAGCTTGGAACTATGTTATTTATGATGTTCAATTAGTAAAATCAATACTATAATGAATTTAAAAAAAAAAAATGCTAACAAACTTCAATTGCCTTTTGGTCATGTCTGTTTTTAGTTCATGAATTATTTAAATCGTAAGAAACAGAGCCTAAGCCCAAGTTTTTTCTGTGCCAAAATTATTTACTAAGTTCATTGACACAACAAATCTTACGTCAGTATTCCCTTAATTATTTTCCCTAAACAAACCAATTTCTGTAACAATTACTCATCATAATTAGATAATAATTCATTAGCAAATGTCCTCCTCAACGTTACTTAGAATTGGTTTTATTTGAACAAAGGTCACCTTAATAAGTTTTTGTTTATTTAGTAGTAAACTAACTTTGCAAAACACATCTGTGTATGTACATTATTTAATTTGCTTGTGCCTGTAGCAAATATAGTTTATTTCCTTATTTTCTATGTGTAAAACTTGCTACTATATTCAATAACAATTGCAGACGGTTCAACAAAGATGCCATTGGAACAGGCTCCCGAGGAAACCGAACACAAAACGGAGAAAGCTGGCACTCGACACAACTTCAAGTCACGTCTGGACAGGCTTGGCAATTTGTATTCAGGTACGTGTTTTGAAAATACCTACTGGGTTTTTTTAATAATGCTATTTTTATTTATTTCTCTCTCATACTTGCCTGTAATTTTATGCAGTGGAGTTCTAGTATCTACAACCAGTTTCATTCTATTGTAGTTTGGTCTTGATAAATTAGCTTAGTGTTGGTATCCAGTCCCATTACATGAAAATTGTTTGTTGTAGTTTGGATAAATTCCCTTTCCAGTAAAAAAACATTCACTTATCTATTTTGTAAAGTAATCACAATATCCTGTCTAATGCATTAGTCATAATATGACCAGTTTGGCCTATATCAGGTTGATTAGAGGTTTGGGAAGTGTAACTTAAAATTGAAATGCTGTTAGGAAGAAAGAAATTATAATTTGTATTAGGCCCAGAACAGACGGTGAAACGCAACTGCAACGAAACTGCAACTTTGTGACGATTCTGATGAATGAAACTGAAAGTTTCAAACTGGTCGCGTCATGTGTGGTCTGTCAACGGACGCTATGGCAGAAACTTAGATGCAACTCAAAAGTAACTAGCAGTTGCAGTTTCGTTGCAGTTGCGTTTCACCGTCTGTTCTGGGCCTTATGCTAACGTCAGACTTCATGTAACCAGCATGGGTCAAATCATCCATTGGCATCTCTTAAATTAGAGAGGGATCCCTTTTGCAGCGCAGGCTAAAGATCTGAATGTACTTTTTTGGTAACATATAAAATTCCTTTTAAAATATCTATTCCAGATGAGCCAAACCTATCGTCACCCATCCACCGCACCGAGCAAGACTTTTCCGCAGCCACTCCGCCCAAACAGCAACCGGTGCGAGAGAAGGCTCTGGATGGAAAGCGGAAGTTCGGTCGTCTAGCTGCCCTGGCTGACCAGATCAACAACTGGGAGGATGACCTGACACATCATACCTTTGTAAGGAACATTTTTATTACTGTTATACTAGAAAAGGGACAATGCAGAGCAACCTTTTGGCAGGCAAGGGGCCACAAGGTGGCAAAATAAACTAAAGGTTGGCCTAGGGTTGCCAGGCGTCCGGCTAATTGCCTTTTTACGGTCTTGTCCGGCCTGTCCGGCTTTTGTTAGGCTTTTTATTTGGCCTGCCGCGTCAGGTGAAAGTCGAGCCACAGAATAATATGAAGTGCACGCATCGATGATACGATGAGTGTACTCACTCGTGAGCTATGACCCTAACAATTAATTTTACAGAATCCTGAGCCAGTCAAGAAAACAACAAAAGCAGAGAAGAAGCATGAGAAACTGGATGCATCAACACTGGATGTGTCCATACATTCGTTCAATGATATCAACAATGTCCTCAAGAAAACTCCTGCAAAATCGGCACAGGTAGGTTATAGTCGACTCAAGTATGCTATATTCATTAATTTGGAGTTATTTTAATCAGACAAGTGCTTGTTATGGGTATTTCATACTTTCTAAAGCAGCCTGTCTAGGCTAGGATGTGTGTCATGATAAAAGATGACAAATCTATGGGCTTATCGTGTAAAATCGATAAAATGGCGCGATAAAAGCTTATTGCGGCGCAAATTCTAGACCTGGATAATAAAAACTCCTTTTGCATTGTAATTTAGAATAAACTAGTTTCTTCACTTCACTCTCTCTGCATACACCTATATTCCATTAACAATATTTATTATTAGGCGGAGTTTTGGGCTGACGCTGTGTAGGTTTGTTGTCGACACGACAAGAAGAATATTTATTTATTGGAGAAAAGGAAGCTTATGTCATGTCCCATTGTCTCATTTCTAAATCTATCCAAAATTTGTCCATGAAAACGTAATTATAGTAACCCTGTCGGTTACTTTAGCATTTATAAAACTTAGAATATTTTTTGTTACAGCCCTCAAAAGCATCTAACACGCGGCAGTCATCAAAGCCATCAGTCAACGAGTGCCAGCGGCTCCAAAGACAAATCATTGCTGAGCTGGTAAGTACCTAGCCTGTAAGTTTCTTATAATCTGGTTATTTTGATTATTTATTTAGCTAAGTGAAGGGAGAAACTAAGTCAGAATATGACGAAACCATTATAAAAACGAAGGCGAGGGCCAGGAAATTTAAAAAATAAGGCAAATGATTAAGTTGAAAGAATTAATACAAGAAAAAATATAAATATAATGCCTTTAAAATTGTGGGTGAGTATCCGTCAATATTATTTTTTTATTTGTCATTGTTACTATGACAAATTTTATCTTATATCCTTAATTTTTGTTACCCCTCTTTTAAATTTTTAAGTTATATCCTTCTCTTTTTGTGGCCCCCCTTTTATTTTAAGTTGGCCTAACTCGTTTTCCTATGATTGGTTCAAAGGTGTGGGTGCTATCAAAATTTTGCTTTATTATAAGGCATGGTATACGTAATTCGGCGAAGTTGCATCATTTAGGACGGAATCATGATTTTTAAGAATTAAATATGTAACAAAGGCATATTGCGTGGTCTTTATTCCAAGAAGTGCGAAAGATATTGCACACAACGCAAAACGGAAAATTTGCACGACGATTTTATCGCCAGAAAGCGATCTCCACCACCCGGAAAAAGATAGTTTTTTGTTATAAAAAAAGGGATTTTTTAAATAGAAATAACAGTCAATATTATACACCGTTTAAAGATCATTCATCTGAATATAGGTTTTATTAATTAATTGGATTGGTCTTTTTGATAATGTTTTTAAGTGTTTTGATGCTAATATCCACGTCATTTTACTGCGACATATTAGTCGTAATCCGTTTCATATTCATACGACATGTTAATCGTATGTCACCATTACCATGTTGCTATAAGTCGTAAACGCGTAGCCCTGAGTTGTCAAATTTGCTGCGCGTACGCATACACTTGTAACATGGTGTGGAGCTGACCGCTAAAAGTTTTAGTCTGCGTGAATAACCAATGGCACATCAAGATGGATCCTATTAGAGATATTAGAATTGCTTAAGATGAAGTTCTTGATAATAAAAGAAATTACTTTTGTTTGTACAATAAAGAGAGAAGGAAAGTAAGGAGAAAAGAGTTAATAAAAAAAATGAGAGTAGAAAAATGCTCACGCAAAAAGTTCATGTATCTTTTGATTTTGTCTGGATACTAAAAATATTACTCTTCTGTAAGAGTAGAGGAAATGTGAAAACGAAGGACCTAAAATCTTTAAAATATTTCTTACCTATATTGTAAACCACATAACAGAGTAACATAAATCTTATCGTTATGATGCGATCTCTTCCAGGCAACCCAAAATACATCATAAAACTGTCAACTCCACGTGTTTCTCTGCGCCTAATCTTTGTTTACCCGCACGGCGCGCGTCGTCGATTTGCCTGCGCGCGCGCCGCATACTAAACGGGCGATCTACTCTTCGACCATCTCCGATTTGAATACCGTTGCTAATTCTCGTTCAAAAACTAAATTAGTAATCACGTGCGATGATTGTAAATGTCGCATTTCCGTAATCGCAAGCGTACCTACTATAATTTCTGTCTGTGCCGTCAGTGAAACTTAAACACGCCTATTTTTTACAACATACATTTATTTTACAAAATAATTAACTTTATTTACTCGGGTAATGTTGTGAATTTCTGGATTTGTAGATGTCTCAATATTATTGTATTAACTTACGGTTACTCGTTTTGTACCATTTTTTTTTCTCTTCAAATTATGCTGGCCACAGAAGTGGAGGCGCCACTATTATTGTTTTTTCTCGGCTCTATTCTTCTGAACTGAATGCCTTCAGAAAGTGTACCATTTTTATGAACGTCATCTTTTAGCTTGCTCTCTGTTTAAAAACAACGCTTAAATAAATTTCAGTTGTGATTGGTCTAGAGTTTAAACTTTTAAATTCAACCACTCATACGCTATGAATTCAGTTTAGAGTGTCGTCACAGAATACCAGCCCAAAATTTTTTGAACGAACGCGGATCCAATACGTATCTCCGACAAATACTAACCAACCGGTTTGCTTTCCAAAAGAACTCGTCCCCAATATCCTTTATCCTTACCAATGTTTGAACACTTTCAAACTTGTTTTCGAGTATTTTTGCGCTGCGGTTTTTCCTCAGCAATAAAGTGTGCGTCAATGCCGAATGTTAAGCAGCCATGACTTGGCCACCACATCTGTTGTCTTATCAAGATGAGGATTTGGTTTGTTAGTAGTAAAAGGGCGTAAACGCCTAGCAATGTGTCGAAAGAAATAATAAAATTGATACTAAGTAAATAGAACTAAATAAATATACTTACTAAATAAATTGTCCAGCAATGGACGTCTTTCGGCTGAAACGAACGAACGAACGAAATAGAACCGGATTTTAGAAAATATTATATCTATATGAGGCTTTAAATTACAAATAGAACAAAATCTTCATACAAAACGGTTACTCTATATGCCAGGCCTCTCCAAGTGCAAGCCAAATAATCTGTAGAAAGAAGGTCGTGCTCCTGCAGTAGAGAATAGATGACCTGATACTAATACAAGTCATGTAATTTTTAATTGTCGCTTACGACATTTTTGTTCGTAGTCAGCTAAAAACACGTACGCCAAACATTTTGGCCGGTGTCCTTTCCTGCCAAAGTTCCAGTGCACTTACTAATTATTTAATTATGCAGCGTATGCAGTCGCGTATTTTGCAACCATGCAAACGATACCGTTGCATTTGACACATACGAAAACAGCCACACATTGTGTCAGACTGAACAACACAATTACTTTTTTACAGCTTAAATTGCTTAATGATTTTCAATTAATACTAATTAATACCAGCTAATGAGCTAATCATTTTTGCTTTCTTTTAATTAATATCGTAAGAATTATTAAGTGTTGACATTTCAGTTGTTTAAAACATTTTCGCGTTCCATTTCAATGTGGGTTTTCGCGAATGAAAAATCCGCCAGATGGCAATACGTAGACGCGAGGTCCAAATGCTGCTTGATTGGTTATTTTTGACATGACATTGACAGATATGTCAAAATCCACCAATCACGCAGCAGTCAGACCCCACATCCACGTCCCGCCATCTAGTGGATCTTTCATTCGCGAAAACCCTCATTAAAATAGAGAAACCGCGTTAAGACCCGTGTTTCTCTATTTTTGCAGTTGTTACAGTTGATGAAATTAAGTCAGATGAACTTATTTACTGATGCATGAATGATCTTAAAACTAAATACTATTTTATTCATCGCTCTTAAAAGTCTTTAAAGTTGAAGGTCTTCTCTAGGATAACGACTTAACGACCATGCGTCTTCAAGTCTTCAATGAAATCTGATACTAAAAGTGGTCACTATTTTGTATCACACAAAACGTGTCAATCCTTAATTTATTGTATTTCGTGTGTGACGTAACACGTACTTGGCCATTGTCTTTACGTCCCATAAACGTCTCATGGTGTTTTTACGGGTATTCCGAGGTTTATGGCCAAGTTAAGGGCTTCGAGGCTGGGTGGTCGGGCCGACTCAAAGGGCCGCGCCCCGAAACTCCGGCTCAAGGTCGTCGTAAAACGGCGCGGGCGCAGTCCTGCGCATTTGTCACTAGGGTTGACTGTCAATGTCAACTACTTTTGCTTTTTGAACTTATGCTCTTAACAATATAAAATTTCCCCTCTTATTAGATCGATAAATCGGTGCGGTCACAATCCTTCGCATTTGTTGAGGTCGATTCTTGTCAATGTACTTTCAGTAGTAGCGTAGTGCTCCCTTTGAAAGGTCAGGGTTTTTCTGAAAGTTATTTCTTTCAACTAGAAAAAGCTAAGTTCTTCTAGAATAGTACCTACATTCAGGGGTTTCGTTAAATTCGCTATATTTCAAAGGCTGTATTATCATATCTTTGTAGGATTTAATTTGACTTCCAAACATAGGCTAGAATAGAAACAGAATAATCTAGAAAAGTTTGAAAAGGTGTAAATATTTGTATTATTTTGTGTAGGGCTTTGGCAACCATAAGGATACCAATAGAAAGCAGGCAGTTGAAATCACTAGCTTAGATAAAAATAACATTGTAATAAATAATAGATCACAGTTTTTAGAGAATGCATGCGGTGTTCCGCAAGGTAGTGTTTTGGGACCTCTACTTTTTATACTTTACATAAACGACCTTCCTGATGTAACAAATCATAGATGTACACTTTTTGCAGATGATGTTTCGGTAGTAATCCCGTCCACAAAAAAGTCTGAGGAACATGAAACTGACATAAATGGTACAATTGACAAAATAATAACATGGCTAAATGATAACAATTTAACAGTAAATTTAAACAAAACTAATTTTATACAATTTGGGACAAATAGACAGACTAAACAAAAACTTAATATACATTATAATGATATAGACATTCAAGAAGCAGATAGTACTAAATTTTTGGGCGTTATCATAGATGATAACTGTGGCTGGAAGCAACAAATAGGAGCATTACGGGATAAATTAAACCGTTATGTATTTGTTCTGAGAAGACTGCGCTACACATCTACCTTGAATGCTTGTCTTGCAGCATATCATGGATATGTCGGCTCAATTCTGAGGTATGGACTTTTGGTTTGGGGAAATTCTACTGACATGAATTTATTATTTAAAGCGCAAAAAAAATGCGTAAGGGCAATTTGTGGTATGTCCCCTCGTCAATCCTGTGAGCCTGTCTTTAGAAAGCTACAAATATTGCCCCTACCTTGTCTGTACATCCTTGAGGTAGCTTTGTTTGTGAGAAATAATATTAATTTATTCAAAAAGCGAAAAGATGTTGTAAACTTCAATGTTAGAGATCCTAGTCATCTAGTATATGATAGCTTACCTAAACTTAAACATTATCTTGATCAGTGTGATGCCATGTGTGTTAAGATATACAATTGTATCCCGAACCATATCAAAAACCTACCAAATGCAAGATTCAAAAGGTCGCTTATAATATGGCTAAGTGACATGAATTTTTATAGGGTAAAGGACTTTCTTAATATGAGACA